CGGAGGGCGTTAAGTTTGACGTCCTGTAAGATTTCCCTGCTTGGCATCAGTTTCACGATAGCGCTCTTGGTTTTGTTCATATCTCCTTTTTAATCAGCATATTATTATTTCTTTTTTGATGAACAATCCAGTGGCAGAAAACGGGGAGGGGGTCTAAAACAGCTGTTTGCTATGAGAATGCCTTTTTAAAAATCACAGAAATTTTGTTGTCTTTTAATCATACGCATTTGACATGATAAATTCTTAAATAATTTCAACCATATACTTTTATGAAAAATGGATATGGTAATTTTTTATGCAAATAGTGGTCCTTATACCTCACCCGGCATAAGCGTTTATATCTTGCTAGCAAATGAGATCAAACACTTTAATACGTTTTATTTCAGACATTTGTGTTTTAACTTGAAGTATTGTGAAATTTCGTACTTAAAATTTGTAAATGCAGTTATGATAACAGACTGTGCTTTCCATGTATACAGAAGGATTAGAATGATTTTATCTCAGTTGATTTTATCTTCCCAACGCCAGGACATAAGAAGAATGGAGTATTGCTGCTTGCCGTAAAACCACGTGATACAGATGACGTCACACCTCGTATGTTCAAACTACACGTGATTGAGCATTGCTTCAAGCACACTCGCTCTACACGTGTGGAATCACAGATGGTTTTTAAATCTTTTCTTCGTTTCTTTGCACTTGTGTGATTTCTTGTCTAAAGTACACTCTTTTATCCTTTTTATATTGGAACCTGCTGTTCTAACGTGTTGTATATTTTGTTGCAGTTTTTGCAGCAACGAGCTGAAACTCCTGGATATGAAAGCAATATGTGAAACGCCATATGTACTTTTTATAAGGGCTATTTCTCATAATAATGTACCGTGGAAAACACAGTAAACCGACGCCATGGGACCCATTTGTACAGTTTTATGTCATTTTATCCTCATATACAGTGGATAATGGCCCACATGCTACTTAAAGTAATAAAAGCAATTGATATATTGAAAATAAAACATGCCACTACTTGGAAAACCACCGGGAACAGTAACTTTCCAGTTTTCTGAAACCCCACCTATATTACTTGCATCCCTATTAAATTATAACATTGGCTTAAATGAAAATTTTGTTTGAATATCTGACGTTTCGGCATAACTTATATTGTAGTACAATTTGACTCATTACAAAATTCATCTACTTTAAGAATAATAAGGAAATTGTCCTCATGCGATATAGGCGACCTCTTTTCTGTACGTCTATTTTTCTCCTTACTAGCGTGGGCCATTTGTGCTGAAAAGAATACTTCCACTCAGTACACGTGTATGTTACGGACACGTATCTTTACTGACACTACTAACAGTACTACCAGCATTGGGTGGTATGGTGTAATATTTAGTTTATTATTATTTAGTTAAGTATGTTTAGATATGTATTGTACTAATATGTGATGTATTCCCCCTCTCTCCCAGAGGTACTGCAACCAGTAAAAAGGTAGATTAGGAACTTTAGTAGGAACAACCTATGATGTGTATTTGTTCAAAAAACCTTTAACCGTTATATTCATGTGTTGATTTTAGTGCCTTGTGGTTTGGGTCTGATGTGATATTTATATTTGGTTTTGTAGACTCACGTGTTACACCTAATTTTTTTCTCTTTTTAGAATGTTCTCTTTTTAGTGATTGCCGTAGTTCAGATACAGATATTATTTTCTTGTTAGTTTGATAAGGTTTTATTAAAAATAATTTCATTTTTTATCATATGAATTCGAATTCTCGAAGCTATCCCACATTTGGTGATGGTACTCTGCAATAAAAGTGCATTTTGTTCATGCACGGGGAAAAACCGACCACTGATTTCAGCCTAAAGACTACAGCGTACATACACGCTCTAATTTCTCATTTATTATTATTATTATTATTATTATTATTTCCTGGCGGCAGCTCAGTATGTGTCTGTATACTTCAGGTGATATTAAGACCCTGCAGAATGGGACGCCACTCCTGAAAATTCGACATAAGAAGACGTACCGCCGCTTCTTCTATGTGGCCAGAGACATGAAACACATTTGCTACAGAGGGTCGAGAAAGTTTGGACATTCTACTGTACATATGTGTAAGTTCACTGTTGAGTTTGATTGTTTCCAGGGTAGTACTATATTATACTTATTATAGAATAACGCGAGAAGACAAGCGGTGTTACACGTATATCTCCTTCAGATTAATATTTTAATTTCACCCACCGCAATGACACCTTTTAAGCCACCGATGTCTTATAACATGGTTGAATTCCTATTGTAAAAGTGCATGTAGCGTGAGACTTGCATTATTATCGTGATAACTGTTCTGTTTATATATTTTGCTATATTTTAAGTGACAGAGAACTTCAGTTATAGTAAGCATTTGCCCCTTTATATAAGTCTGTCGTTATGTCAGTCAGCAATGGTCTGTTGTTGTTCCAGGTAAACTAAACGACATTGACGACATTAGGGAAGGCAAGCTGACAGATGCACTGCAGAAACTGAAGCCAAAACCAAGGGTAATTACTGACTTTTGATACAACAAGTGAAGTAACAACAGAATATCTTTGTGATTGATAGAATAAAATGAATTTATGAAAACTCCGACAGAGATGTGATCTAATATAAATTACATTCTGCGACGTTTTATACATTTCTTATACATTTCATTTGTTTGCAGTTTGAAATATTTGCTCTTCATTTGCTGTTTACTTTCTCAGTATAGATATTCAAATGTTTAACTTGCCAATCTTATCACCCTTTTCCATACAGGACGAGTTTTGTTTCTCGTTAATTCGCGGGAAGAAGTCATACGATTTTATAGCGAGAAATAGCGATGAACGAAACGCTTGGGTCACAGGACTTCGCAAACTTCTTAAACAGAAGATGCCAATACACAAAGACTATGATAATATACGGAAGGCGTATCCTTTAACTTCATCAGTCTGTCAGATCTAAACGTAAACAAAACCGATATATGTATGGGCCTGTCTGTTTTGATTACAACATCACTTTATTTGATTAATTTATCATGTAATCTGTTGATTTAATTGTACTGATAACGATAAAT